ATTTATTTATTTACATTTTTTTAATTTCAGGGTTTAATGTTTAACTCACACGCCCTGTTAGAAACAACTGGCCAAAACTAGCCATATAATAAAAAATAAGGTTCTTAGTGAGGTTGTATTGCCTCGTTGCTAAGCTAGAGGGGGTCCTAGTGCCTTGGCGGTTTCGGCGCGCGTTTGACACCCGACCTCGGGAGGAGAAACGGGTGGAGGAACTGGTGGGAGGAAGGGAAACTGCTGCTGCCGCCGCTGTTGGTGCCCTTGGCTGTTGTTTCCTGTTGCTTTTAAGAGAGACAGCTCCATTTGGACGTGCAAGGCTAACGTTTGCGAGCAGCCACCGAGTGCCATCTTTGGGATAAAGCCATAGGGTAAGTATGTAGGTAGGCTAATGATGGCTGTCCGGCTAATTAGCTTGCCTGATAGGATCCGGCTCTTGTTACGACAGTGTTCAAGCCCCGTTAGTTAGTTAATCGGTTAGACTGTTGGCGTCCGTTCGGTTAAGGCTATGTAGGAAGGTGAAATTGCAAAGCTAAGAAGCTATCTAGCTAGCTAAAGTCCGTTTCGCTATCTGCATCAGCGTTAGATTAAACCTGGTGCTGCTAGCTGTCTCTAGTTGTGTCATATTTCCACGTTTCTCCACTGTGGTCTTTGACTACTGTCAATATGTGTTTTATCTGATTAATAGGCTCTTACTTTTAAACATAGCGAATATTCTCAATTGCAAGCTCTTAGTGCATGTTCACGGAGAACCGGTTTCTTGGCGTAGAGGAAGCAGATGCTTGTTTCATGACTAACTCGCAGCTACATCCTTTGGCACGGGACGACCAGGGGCTGGTGTTTCCATCTTCGGTCAGACAAGAGGACACGAGGAAATCGTGGGAATCTGCCCCACCCGGGCCGGTCGAAGTAAACATATGTTGTTTCCGCGCCTTGGTCGTGTAGCAGCTGTTTCAAGTGTTTAACAGTAATTTGCGTAGTGTGAAAGATGAAGACTGGTCGATGCTACTCTCATAGCATCAGCATCCTCTTGCATTTAAGTTTAAGCCTGTTGTTGTTAATTATGGGGATGTGAGGAAACCTCAGTAATCAATTTGTTTGTTTTAGGCCTAAATCATTTCTTAGACGGTGAAAAACGGTTTCTTGATTTATGTTTTTGCATATTTGTCAGACTTATATGTTTCAGATCAAACACATTTTGGTATTAGACCCACCCCCCAAAAAAAAAAAAAAAAAAAATCTGAGCAAATATAAAGTGGAGTTCTTAAATGATGATTTAGCTTATTAAGGACCAATAGCTATGAAAAGCTATCCAAACCTATCTGTCCCTGTGTGAAAAAGTAATTGCCCCCTAAACCTAATAACTGGTTGTGCCACACTTAGCAGCAAGAACTGCAATCAGGCATTTGCAGTAACTGGCAATGAGTCTTTCACATCATTGTGGAGGGATTTTGGGTCATTCTTCTTTGCAGAAATTGTTTAATTCAGCCACAATGAGTAATTTTCAAGCATGAGTGGCCTGTTTAAGGTTATG